ACCTGGGGGGCTAACCATGTGTGTGGAGTGAGTAAAGGGTAGATGGCAGTGCCCTTTGGCGCCTGCCCCTGTCCAACCCGGCCTGGTGCCGTAGATGCGACCTGAGGAAGCTCTGGGAGGGGTTGTCCTCGGCACACGGGGAGCATCTCACGGAGAGGGGTAGGGATCACCCTCACCTAGCCTCCTGTTCTCCTCCCTCACAGTGGACGCAGATGTTGCCATGGAGACCTGCTGTGCCGATGGACATCAAATGGCCACTCAGCAGAAAGACTGCTCGCTGCCCTACACCTCGGAGTCCAAAGAATGCAGGTGCGTTTTCCAGCACGGCGTCTGTTAGGGGAAGCACAGAGGAGGGGCCGGGACGTGCCCACCGCAGAGAGCGGCTGGGCACCCGGGACAGCCCGCCCAAGTTGTGTCCCTCCACCGGCTGCTCTGTCCCCGGCCCTCAGCCTCCTTGCACAGGACACGGCTGCCCCACTGTGCTGCCCTGTGACGGAGTGTCCCTTCCCTGGGCTGGGCCAGCTTGTGACCGGAAGCCAGAGGGTCTGGGTCCACAGCCTGCTTGGCCGTGGATGGGCCACTGTGGGCCAGGCAGTTTCCTCTGAAGAAAAAGGGGGTTGTTGAAGGAGCAGGTGGGTCCGTGTGATGGCCGGGGTCCTTTGCAAAGAAAATCATGGGATGGTCTTAAGACAAACACGGAGGAGCCAGGCCCAGAGCCCACCGTTCTGCCAGACCCCGTCTGCAGTCGCCAGCCGCTGGACTGAGCATTCCTTATTCATCTCTCCCTACATTGGTCCCTGGGTGGCACAAACCGTTAGGTACTCGGCCGCTCACCAAACGGTTGGAGGTCCGTGTCCACCCAGAGGCACATCTGAAAACTCTGCCCCCGAGAACCCCATGTTCTACGCTGACACACACGGGGTCGCCGTGAGTCGGACTCGGGCAACAGCTTACTCCCTACGTTGACTGCAGGGCCCTCGAAGCTTTGGGAGAGCGTGAGCTTGGGCTGAAAGGAGAAACTGGCAGGTGCTCACCGACCCAGACGCAGAGCTCGGGGCACTTTGCAACTGCGCGTGATCTCCTTGCCCTGTTAGGGATCCCGCTGTGTAGACCCGGGGGCTCACGGCTGCTCAGTGCTCCTGTTAGGGTTGGGGCTGGAAGGGCGATGTGTGGTGCAGCCCACCGTCTGACCGCCACTCGCCTTCTCCTCTCTGGCGACTCTTGGTGGCCTTGGCCCTGCAGCCGTGATGTGCTGGTGGGGGCTGTCCTGGGAGGAATGTGTGGGGGTGACAGGGGGTCTCGTTTGATTATTTGGGGCTGTGCATTAAGTTGGCGTTGCGTGAAGGCCGCCCGTCAGCCCTAGCACAGGATGTAAACCTTGAGGAATTCCTGAGAGGCCCAAGCCCTCCCTGCAGACCCGAGAGAACGATCAGATGGGGCTTGTCAGACTGGAAGACGAGAAAGGGCTCACAGAGCAGCTGATGGCTCTCGGCTCTGCGGAGTGCTGGAGATGTCAGTGGGGCCGCCCAGGGGCCGTTTGTCAGGAAGCCAGCGCTTGGCTCCACGCATTGTTTTCAAATCTCGCTGAGAGGCAGCCCGGGCCTTGGAAGAGTGAGGGCTGCGGAGTCGGGCTGACCTGGGTGGAGTCTCTAGCTGTCTGACCCGAGCCAGCTCTGGGCCTCAGTTTCCCCAAATGTAAAACGGGGATCATGATACCTTCCTTTCGGGTGCGGTAATGATGGGAGGTGACATGTGAAACCAGGGCCAGAGTGCCAAACAGTGGGAGTCACCGTTACTGGTATTTATGGAAATCAAAGACTTAGGAAAACCCAGAAAAGGGGCATCAGCCCGCTGAGCCCCCAAAGAGCAAAAGGAGCTGGGGCCAGAGAGGTTCAGCGGCTCTCGGGGTCCACCTGTGAATCTGGATGTTAGAGCCCTGGTGGTGCAGTGATTAAGTGCTCGGCTGCTAACCAAAAGGTCAGTGGTTTGAACACCCCGGTCACTCCAAGGCGGAAAAGCCCTGGTGATCTGCGCCCGTGAAGATTACATTCTGGGGACCCTAGGGAGCAGTTCTGCTGTGTCCTGTAGGGTTGCTGTATGACTCAACAGCAACAACAACGAGGACAGGTTTGTTCTCTGGGTGGTACAGATGGTTAAATGCTCGGCCACCAAGCAGAAGGTTGGCGGTTCAAATGCACCCAGCACCTGTCCAGAAGACAGGCCTGGGAGTCAGCTTCCCAATGCCACAGCCATGGAGACTCTGCCCTGACACACGTGGGCTTGCCACGGGTCGGAGCCAGTGCCACGGCCGTGGGTGTTGAAGCTTGTTACGGCTTTGACTCTCCAGTATCTTCGGTAAATTTTGGAGTTCTCTCTCCTGGAGTTCTCTCTCCTCCCCGGGGGGCGGGGCTCACGGCACACAGGCAACTCCTTCCACCTGTGCAGCCGGCCTTTGTTTTGTGAGCTCCATCTCCGTCAGAGTCATGTTTAAATCATTCCATGGTGAGAAGATTTCCTGAAATGTGAGGACCAGCCCCTGAACAGCCGAGAGGTAATTTCCTCTCTCTTGGGGAAGCACACAAAGTCTGGGTTCCCCGGCCCCTCAACCTGTTCCTGGTGGAGTCCGTCCACTGAGGCCTGGGGAACCTGTGCTTGGATGTTGGGAGTTTCCCTGTCACCAGCACCAGTTCCCGGGTGACTCATGGGGACCCCGCGTGTTTGGGAGCAGACCTGTGCACCACTGGGGGTCGAGGGGCTGGCTTTCTCGGAAGTTGATTGTTAGACCTTTCTTCCCAGGCATCTTTGTGAACTTGAACCTCTAACCTTCTGGTTAGCTGCCAGGCGTGTTTACTGGTTTACCACTTGAGGTCCAGATGGGACAGCATGTTGCCAAGGTGACCCACCCGGGGAGTCAGGCAGAGTTGGGGCGGGCAGCCGAACCAGGGCCTGGTCCCTCCTGGCCCTTGTCACACGTGATGCCTGACCTAACTTGTGACAAGTCCTCTGTGGAGGTCAGGGACCCTCCCAGGCCAGTCAGTGGGTGTTTGCTGCAGTTCTGAGGTGAACTCAGCCCCAGGAGGGGTCATTGCCACTGCATTTGGGTGGGACTTAATGACCTCCAAGGCACTATTTTGCCATGATCTCACTGTTGTTGTTGTTGTTATGTGCCGTCGAGTCGGACCCGACTCATAGCGACCCCTCCTTGGGTTTCCGAGGCAGTATCACTACGGAAGT